AAAATTAAAATAAGAAAATAATGGAAAGATTATTTCGAAAATAATTAATTCCTTGATAAAATGAAAATTTGTTTATTGCTTTTATAATGATTATTATACTCACTTAGTATTCTACTATTCGTAAAAATCTTTTTTACTTTCATATTAACATTTTTTACGCTTAAATCAACGTCTAATTTGTCAACATGGAGGTAAGTTTTATTGTCACGGGTTGTTGTTGATACGGAACCCTTAACAAGGGCTCGAACGTCATCGAAACGTGCATAGAAAGTACCGTTTCCACTTGCTGGTAGAATGATCAATACACCAGAACTATAAAAAAAATATATCGATATGTTAATTAAATTTATGATTAGGTAAAATTATTTTCAATTTTAAATAATTACACTTTTATATATACTTGTTAATAAATATTTTATTATATGACACACTCTTTAAGTGACATGAATATTTTTTATTGAATTGTTTAATTTTATTTTATGTACACACGTGATCAAGCGTTTATTATTAATAATAGTTTATATTAATATTATTGTAATTATAATTCAATTTTTTTTGCTTTTTTTTTTTTAAACATTAAACGTCCACATATACTCTGTATAATTAATTGTTCAATTAAATTATTATTTAATGATTTCGTTTTATCTATTTAAATTAAATTATCCGTGTTTTGACATCTAATAATTAAATAAATAAAAGTTATATATTACGATCAATAATGTGCGACGCGTGTGACATAATTAAATATTTATTTAACATTAAAACATTTCTCGGATAATGTAGTAATATAATTAAAAAAAAAAAAAAAAGAAAAAGTAGTATTATGAAATCATATGAAAATTATGCAACGTGATATCACACTATTCATTTTTACGATTGAATCTATAGATCAGTGCGACATAGTAATCAATTCAAAATTATATGACATGATTGAATATTTATATTTAAATAAAAAAATAAATTCTCTTATTTTGTTTTTTTTTATTTTTGTTTTTTTTTTTTTTTTTTTTTTTTTTTTTTTTTTTTTTTTTTTTTTTTGGAGGGGGGGGAAAAGATTTCAGGTTTTATTTATCTAAGAAAAAAGTTCACCTGGAATATTGAGCGTCGAGTACAAGGGCTGGCATTCTAATGATAGCTTCGAAGGGTGAGCCTAGTTTAATGTCTTCGACCGTATAGTTACTTGCTCCCCTTACATAAAGTTCTCGCAACTGAACCTTGTAACCGTTTTTACCACCTGTCAGAGAGAGAGTCAGCTCGTCCATCTGTTAAAGGAATTGATGTTTCACGTACATCATTCGAGATATTCAAATAAAATCATTATTTTGTTTTTTTCTTTCTTTCTTTCTTTTTTTATTTTTCTTTTCTTATTTTTTTCATTTTTAAAAGTCAAAAATGAAATGCTTAAAATAATATATATATATATATATATATATATA